AGTATGTGATGAACCATGGAAGTATGTAATTAATCATGGTAGTGTGTGATAATCCATGATGGCATGTGATAAACCATGGTGGCATGTGATTAACCATGGTGGCATGTGATAAACCATGGTGGCATGTGATAAACCATGGTAGCATGTGATAAACCATGGTAGCATGTGATAAACCATGGTAGCATGTGATAAACCATGGTAGTATTTGATAAACCATGGTAGCATGTGATAAACCATGGTAGTATGTGATAAACCATGGTAGCATTGATAAACCATGGTAGCATGTGATTAACCATGGCAGCATGTGATAAACCATGGCAGCATGTGATAAACCATGGTAGCATGTAATAAACCATGGTAGTATGTGATAAACCATGGTAGCATGTGATAAACCATGGTAGCATGTGATAAACCATGGTAGCATGTGATAAACCATGGAAGTATTTGATGAACCATGGTAGTATGTGATAAACTATGGCAGCATGTTATAAACCATGGTAGTATGTGATAAACCATGGTAGCATGTGATAAAACATGGTAGTATGTGATGAATCATGGTAGTATGTGATAAACCATGGTAGTATGTGATGAACCATGGCAGCATGTGATAAACCATGGTAGTATGTGATGAGCCATTGTAGTATGTGATGAGCCATTGTAGCATGTGATAAACCATGGTAGTATTTGATTAACAATGAAAGCATGTGATAAACCATGGTAGTATGTGATAAACCATTGAAGCATGTAATAAACCATGGTAGTATGTGATAAACCATGGTAGTATGTGATAAACAATGGTATTGTGTGATAAACCATGGCAGCATGTGATAAATCATGGTAGTATGTGATGAACCATGGTAGTATGTGATGAACCATGGTAGTATGTGATGAACCATGGTAGTATGTGATGAACCATGGTAGCATGTGATAAACCATGGCAGCATGTGATAAACCTAGTAGTATGTGATAAGTCATGGTTAGTATGCGATAAACCATGGTAGTATGTGATGAACCATTGTAGTGTGTGATGAACCATGGTAGTATGTGATAAACCATGGTAGTAAGTGATAAACCATGGTAGTATGTGATAAACCATGGCAGCATGTGATAAACCATGGTAGCATGTGATAAACCATGGCAGCATGTGATAAACCATGGTAGCATGTGATAAACCATGGTAGCATGTGATAAACCATGGTAGCATGTGATAAACCATGGTAGTATGTGATAAACCTCGGTAGCATGTGATGAACCATGGTAGTATGTGATGAACCATGGTAGTATGTGATGAACCATGGTAGTATGTGATGAACCATGGTAGTAAGTGATAAACCATGGTAGTATGTGATGAACCATGGTTAGTATGTGATAAACCATGGTAGTAAGTGATGAACCATGGTAGTATGTGATGAACCATGGTAGCATGTGATGAACCATGGTAGTATGTGATGAACCATGGTAGTATGTGATGAACCATGGTAGTATGTGATAAACCATGGTAGCAAGTGATAAACCATGGTAGTATGTGATGAACCATGGCTAGTATGTGATAAACCATGGTAGTATGTGATAAACCAAGGTAGTGTGTGATAAACCATGGCAGCATGTGATAAACCATGGTAGTATGTGATAAACCATGGTAGTATGTGATGAACCATGGTAGTATGTGATGAACCATGGTAGTATGTAATAAATCATGGTAGTGTGTGATAATCCATGATGGCATGTGATAAACCATGGTGGCATGTGATAAACCATTGTGGCATGTGATAAACCGTGGTGGCATGTGATAAACCATGGTGGCATGTGATAAACCATGGTAGCATGTGATTAACCATGGTAGCATGTGATAAACCATGGTAGTATGTGATAAACCATGGTATTATGTGATAAACCATGGTAGCATGTGATAAACCATGGTAGCATGTGATAAGCCATCGTAGCATGTGATAAACCATGGTAGTATGTGATAAACCATGGTAGCATGTGATAAACCTTTATAGCATGTGAAAAACCATGGTAGCATGTGATAAACCATGGTAGTATAGTATGCGTTAAACCATAGTAGTATGTGATAAACCATGGTAGTATATGATAAACCATGGTAGTATGTGATAAATTGTGATAAAAAGTAACCAAATCGAGTTCAATAAATGTTGTAAAATAGTGTAGATGTTGTATCTTCTTCCACTTCTACCCGTGACTTACAGTCGGTGATCTATCCGCTGCTACCTGTGACTTACAATCGGTGATCTATCCGCTGCTACTTGTGACTTACCGTTGGTGATCTGTCACTGAAGGTGTACGGGCTGCAGAAAATTGATGTCATTAACTTTGAGGGTGTTCTTTAACACAGTTGATCCACCGCGGACGCGGTCTTCCTCTTGTCTGCTGTTGCAGGCTTGGAATGTCTGATATTGTAGGCTAGGCATGTCTGCTGTTTTAGGCTATAAATGTCTGCTGTTGTAGGCTAGAAATGTCTGCTGTTAAAGGCTAGGAATGTCTAATGTTGTAGGCAAGGAATGACTGTTGTTGTAGGCTAGGAATGTCTGCTTTTGTAGACTAGTAATGTCTGCTGATTTAGGCTAGGAATGTCTGCCGTTGTAGGTTAGGAATTTCTGCCGTTGTAGGCTAGGAATGTCTGCCCTTATGGGCTAAGAATGTCTGCTATTAATGGCTAGGAATGTCTGCTATTGTAGGCTAGGAAAGTCTGCTGTTTTATGCTACGAAAATCTGCTGTTGTAGGCTAGGAATGTCTGCCGTTGTAGGCTAGGGATGTCAGCTATTGTAGGTTAAGAATGTCAGCTATTGTAGGCTAGGAATGTCTGCTGTTGTTGGCTAGGAATGTCTGCTGTTGTAGGCTAGGAATGTCTGCTGTTGTAGGCTAGGAATGTCTGCTCGTGTGGCTAGGAATGTCTGCTGTTGTAGGCTTGGAATGTCTGCTGTTATAGTTTTGGAATGTCTGCCGTTGTAGGTTAGGAATGTCTGCTGTTGTAGGCTAGGAATGTCTGCCTTTGTAGACTAGAAATGTCTGCTGTTGTTGGCTAGGAATGTCTGCTTTTGTAGGCTAGGAATGTCTGCTATTGTAGGCTAGGAATGTCTGCCGTTGTGGGCTAGGTATGTCTGTTGTTGTAGGCTAGGAATGTCTGCCCTTATGGGCTAAGAATGTCTGCTATTAATGGCTAGGAATGTCTGCTATTGTAGGCTAGGAAAGTCTGCTGTTGTATGCTACGAAAATCTGCTGTTGTAGGCTAGGAATGTCTGCCGTTGTAGGCTAGGGATGTCAGCTATTGTAGGTTAAGAATGTCAGCTATTGTAGGCTAGGAATGTCTGCTGTTGTAGGCTAGGAATGTCTGCTGTTGTAGGCTAGGAATGTCTGCTATTGTAGGCTAGGAATGTCTGCTGTTGTAGGCTTGGAATGTCTGCTGTTATAGTTTTGGAATGTCTGCCGTTGTAGGTTAGGAATGTCTGCTGTTGTAGGCTAGGAATGTCTGCCTTTGTAGACTAGAATTGTCTGCTGTTGTTGGCCAGGAATGTCTGCTTTTGTAGGCTAGGAATGTCTGCTATTGTAGGCTAGGAATGTCTGCCGTTGTGGGCTAGGTATGTCTATAGGAGAGGGCGCTTAAACCTGACAAAGTAAAGAGATGTAGAAAGGAAGTGATTCAAACATAATTGGAAAAACCAAACAGGAAAAAGACATGGCAGCTAAGTAAAACTATGGATTTGGTTCAATCCATATGGATGTCAGGTTTAAGCGCCCTCTCCTATATTTTTTTCTGTTTTAGGTAGGATATATATATTGACATTATGTAAATTTAATTTATACTTATTTAAATGTGTTGTGTTTGTTTGTACTGATGAAGGCATGTGCCGAAACGTTTAATTCTGTATAATGTACAATTATTATTAAAGCTAACTCATATTGTTCTATTGACACAATTTGTTCGTGTCTTATTAATATATTTTAAAGCTTTATTGCAGTCCAACACTTTTTATATTTCCTTAACATGGGCACAGTTTATTTTTGCACATTTGTAATTCAAAAACAGACCACTACTGCAGCATTTTTTTTTATTGGAGGGAGATGTTGAAGACAATCGTAATGAGCACATACTTCTCATCGACCACAGAAACTCCTCCGAAAAAATATAGACAATCTCTGATCCAATATCTACTTTACACAAACAATCTCTGATCCAATATCTACTTTACATAAACAATCTCTGATCCAATATCTACTTTACATAAACAATCTCTAATCCAATATCTACTTTACATAAACAATATCTGATCCCATATCTACTTTGCATAGAGAATCTCTAATCCAATATCTTCTTCTTCTGGTTTAAATTCAGAGTTTGCCTTCTCTTAGATGGATTGCCATCCAAGGCTAACGAGTCCCATCCACCCGAGGTGCTTGGGATGTTGGCTTTGGTGGGGATTGAACTCCAGACGACCATATGGTTTGAGACAGTTTAGACCGCTCGGCCACCCAGCACCCAATATCTACTTTACATAAACACTCTCTGATCCAATATCTACTTTGCATAAAGAATCTCTAATCCAATATCTACTTTACATAAACAATCTCTGATCCAATATCAACATTACATAAATAATCTCTATTCCAATGTCTACTTTTCATAAACAATCTCTGATCCAATATCTACTTTACATAAGCAATCTCTAATCGAATATCTACTTTACATAAACAATCTCTAATCGAATATCTACTAAACATAAACAATCTCTAATCCAATATCTACTAAACATAAACAATCTCTAATCCAATATCTCCTACACATAAACAATATCTAATCCAATAGTTAATTACATAAACCTAATAATAAATACTACTCTGAAGATAAGAATATGCTTTTCCACTTAACTGCACCGTAGACTTACAGAAAAAAAAAGTATGGAAGAGGAAATGGGTGGGGGGGGGTGGTTCTGAGATAAGTAGCTCATAAAAATGTAAGGGCCGTAATGTCACCTGAACAGCCACGGCTGGTTGGCTGTGACAAATGATTCAGCCCTCTTCCATCAGACATGTTGGACGTACAAGAGACAAGGACACAAGCCGAGCTCCCAATATTCTGTTAACACACCTGTTGACTTCAACTGAAGCTGGCGTCTTTTGTTCAAGGATATTATTTAACAACATAAGGGGGACATTCACACATTTCACTAAGTTTATTGGGATAATTTTTTACAGCCTTTAAACAAGGTGAGTCATTAGCTTTAATATGTGCTAAACATCAACACATTTAAGTTAGAATCAAATTCATAACAACAAGAGTAGGTGCTACAATGCAGACGGGCACATTATAGCAATGAATCAAAACACCATATAAATACACTAAATCACCCACATACACAAACATGTATGAATATTTATATATTGAACAATACATAAAATAAAAAAAATAATAAGATATAATCGTTTTTTTCTTAATTCACCCTGTTGTTTTCTTCGTATTTATTTATCTATCCATCCATCCACCCATCTATCAGTCCATCCATCCATCAATCCGTATATATATTGGGCGACGGAGAATCGTCATTGATTCGCACCAGAACTTTTAGACGCCAACCTTTCCATGGACTAGCACTAGGCGATAACGTTTATTGAAATTCAAATGTAATATTATAAATTTGGAGTGGATTTAAACAATGTTGAATATTCAATAACCTAAATATATTGAGTTTAAATTTCTTTATGCAAGCTAAAAAACCAACTATAGAGGCCACATTAAACCTGTGGAAACTGTGCAATAGGAAATGTGATCAAATATGATCGTCCGGCGAGGGTTGTGTCAAATATAGGGAATGTGTACCGGTTTTATGTGGCCCACCATGTGTATTTGGGAGTAGGCTGACACGAGTGAGATGAGTTCAGCAAGAATTATACGCGTGGATTAAGAAGATAAGCGGTCAGGGAATCTGTGCTCAGGTCATTCATTAAAAATACTTCCATATTTAAACTGTTATCTGAAAGATTTAAAAGAAAAAAACATAAAAAATGAATTCCATCTAAACACCACCACAGTCCAACTAGTGGATTTTTGTCTCTTGTGCTTGTGTCTGGGGGCTTTTTCCTGTAGCGCTTGCGTCTGGGGGCTTTCATCTGTAGCCCTTGTGTCTTGGAGCTTTTGTCTGTAGCCCATGTGTCTGGGGGCTTTTGTATGTAGCCCTTGTGTCTGGGGGCTTTTGTCTGTAGCCCTTGTTTCTTGGAGCTTTTGTCTGTAGCCCTTATGTCTGGGGGCTTTTGTCTGTAGCCCTTGTGTCTGGGGGCTTTTGTCTGTAGCCCCTGTGTCTGGGGGCTTTGTCGGAGGAGGTCTTTTATGGGGGGGGGGTGCGGGTGGTGTTAAGTATCCCTTTGAACGTGCCAAAACTATCAAATAAAAATGAAACTTTTCATCCAGATCAATGCATCCACTGAGGCTTTCATGTGGACTAAATAACAACTTACAAACAGCGGAGAGGTGGCTGCGGAGAATTGTCACAGATTCCTCCATCCTTCTTCTTCTATATATTAAGGGTCCACGATCAATGTATTGATCATTCTGGCTCCTAAATATGTAGAGGTATTTGCAATGTTTATTTTCATGGTATTGAAGAGGATATTTTACTGGCCGCAAGGGCCACTGAACGAGGATATCAAGAACTAGTATTTGGAAGGCCTGGGGCAGTAGACACAAATGTGTCGAGTGTTGCCGCCTCAACTGTTCCTTTTGAAAGCTTGTTCCAGTCCTTGATTGTCTTTGGCAGGAATGAACAGTTCCTGTATTGTGGTCTTGCTGTTATGAGCCGGAACTGCCTGGCATGGCCTCGTCGCTGTCTAGGGAGGAGAGGGACGAGTTTCTGTAAATGCTGGAGCACTTAACCACCTCCTTATTCATTTTTTACATCGTCGATTGCCTGGATAATCATCTTCTTTTCTAAAATGGTGACCAACCCAGTGTTTCCAGCATGGTGCCAACACTAGAGGCTTTCCTGTAACGGTTCAGGACAAAGCGTGCTGCCCGTCGCTGGACCGCCTCCAACTTGTCGATGTTCTTCTGGGTGAATGGGTCCCAGACTGAAGACGCGTATTCTAAAAGCGGTCGGACAAAGGCTTTATAGGCTCTTCTTTTCACACAGGAGTTGCCGAGCTTCAGATTTTGCCTTGAGAACCCCAGGCTCTTGTTTGCCTGGTTGTACACATAGTGAATATGCTCGTTACAGCGAATCTCTCTTTGAATGGTAACACCGAGGTCCCTTACGGAGAAAACTGGCTCAAGTATATGGCCATGAAGCTCGTAATGGTGGTTTAGAGGAGTACAACTTATAGAGACTGACAATATATGGCATTTGGCAGGATGAAATTCCCAGTTTATCTCCCACGCAGCCAACCTGAGATCTTGTTGTAGCTGGTCCTGGTCAGATCTTTTGGCGATCGTCCAATACACCGCCGTGTCATCTGCGAACAGTCTTGTTCTGGATGTCAGTTCCTCGGGTAGATCATTGATGTATGCTAGGAGCAAACAGGGGCCTAGCACCGAACCCTGTGGGAACCTTGACTTAACACTGACAAAGGAGGACATTGTACCGTCCACAACTACTGCCTGGCATCGGTTGCTGAGGAAGCTAGAGATCCATGTATTGATTGTGCCTTGGATCCCATATATCTGAAGTTTGTGTAAAAAAAAACTATGATTTACACGGTAAAAACCGTTGAGAAGTCCATCACCAGTACGTCAGTTTGTTTGCTGTTCTTCAGACTGGTCATCAAGTTTTCTACAAAGGAGCTGCGTCTCACATGATCTATTGTCTCGGAAGCCATGTTGACAGTCATTGAGTATATTGTTGCTTTCAAGATGCTTCATGACTGCGCTTTCGATGATGTGCTCCAACAGTTTGCGGACCACGCTGATCAGGGATACCGGACGTAGTTGGCAGGGTAGGAATGTTCCCCTTTCTTGTAAATTGGAGTGACATGCGCAGTTCTCCAGTCTGATAGAACATTTCCTGTGCACAACGACGATTGGAAATAGGATTGTCAGTGCAAGAGCGATTTCTATGGCCAATCCTTTGAGCATTCGTGGTTTGATGTTGTCAGGACCACATGCCTTGTAAGGGTTAATTGTTTTAAGGAGTGTCAGCACACCCTGCCCTGAAATCTGGATATCTTCCATGGCGGGGTGGGCTCTGCTCATCATATTGGTCTTCAGAAGGATTTCATTTATGCTAATGATGTTTTGATATTTAACATTGTGTAACAATATAATGCTTTTAAAAGTTTTTAATATAAATGATTTTTAAAATGTATTGCATAAACTTTATGTCTCGTTAAGAATTCTTTTAAAAGAGTATATTCAGGTTTTATTACCATCTAAAAATTTTGCAAACATCTGATTTGAGGTAAACGAGTTCATGGTGGACTCCGCTTCATTTGAACGCAGGGACAGTTTTAGTCACTTTTAAAGGGAAAAAAATGGGGTGGGACTAGAAGGTAAAAACTTTGAACATCGCTAAATCACTTTTAAAAATATGGGAAAATTGGATCACGGGGTTGAATGATAATAATCCTTTGATGAAAAATAGATCTAGGCAGACAAAGAACCAATTGATTAAAAGAACATCGGTCTAGAAAAAAGTAGGGCGTTCAGTGTGAGATTTTTGGATTATCAATGGAGTCTTCTCCCCTTTAGAACTATATCTGCACACGTCGCACTTCTCATTCTTGATCTTGTTCTCATTCTTGATCTTGTTCTCATTCTTGATCTTGTTCTCATTCTTGATCTTGTTCTCATTCTTGATCTTGTTCTCATTCTTGATCTTGTTCTCATTCTTGATCTTGTTCTCATTCTTGATCTTGTTCTCATTCTTGATCTTGTTCTCATTCTTGATCTTGTTCTCATTCTTGATCTTGTTCTCATTCTTGATCTTGTTCTCATTCTTGATCTTGTTCTCATTCTTGATCTTGTTCTCATTCTTGATCTTGTTCTCATTCTTGATCTTGTTCTCATTCTTGATCTTGTTCACGTGTCTGCCTTTTATTGGCTGATTATAACGAGTTTCAATAAAACCTGTGTCTTGTCTAATATTTGCTCAAGGTGACACAGTTCAGATAACGGCCTGTTTCCTTGTGCCCCCTGACTGAAGTGTCGCACTCGTAGAAAAGGGGGTGGGGTGAGGAGACTGCGTTTGCGCATCACGTTCCACATTAAGGCACATTATGCATACCATTAAATTATCACCTGACGCCTGGTCCGTCTGTAGCTGGTCATTAAGACACTATCTCCTGACATTCTTTGCCTGACATTCAACAAATTTGGACGGGGCTCAAGACTAGGCCCTTCTTCACGTCGTCTTTGTGTCGGGGCCTTTAATGTTAGAAAGATTAAATTATTATCTAGTTATACATGTAATTTTAATAACTTAAGTGTCTTTATACACTACACTACGTCCTGTAAGGAGGTGAGAGCCTATCAGTTTGCTTTCGCCACAGATGGCCCTGTATTGCACAGTATTGAATAGTATCACACTGCAGTATTGAATAGTTTCGCACTGTATTGCACAGTATTTAATAGCATTTCTCTGTATTGAACAGCATAGTATTGGTGAAACGATCTAAAGGTAATGGACTCATTAAGGGACCTACTATGATGTGGACTTGTCTTTAAACAGAGGATCCTTCATAAAATCAGTTTTTTTCACCAATTAAAAGTACAAGCTGCTCCCTTCAACTTCAGTACGTCAATCTAGGTCAACATGTTGTTCGCTCTCAACACGTTGATACAGGAATCAACTCACCTGATGGTTTGATTTAGGTTGACTGTTAAGTTAAATAATGTATTATATTTGCCACAGTCCGGGCAGTCACATTCCTTGTCACTAGTAGTTTATTTCTCTAGTCTGTGACATTTCAACTAGGTCACTGTTCTTGTGATGACGCTGATGGTGTCAAGTCGAGTAGAAGGACTATTTCATGGCATGCTTTGAAAATGTCGGACTTGATCAAATTCATGTCAGAAATAAATCAACCAAACTGATCGTTCTTAAAGACTCTAGTTAATTTTCAGGAATTCAGCTGAATCAAAGTCATTGACTGTGTGTGTTTATATATATCCAAGGGTGTGTGTGTGTGATTTTAGCGGTTGTGTGTGCATCTGCGTGCATGAACGTGTGTGAAGTCAGAAAACACTAATAGTTTGGAGAGTACACGACAGGGACGTAATTCATAAGTAAAGTCAATGATTTCATGTTAGAATGGTAAATAATAAAATAACGAAACAAATATCAGAAGTTTTTCAGTTAACTGCATGTCCAACAAAAACACGCTCTCAGCCCTATTCTAATAACGAACCCGTTCAAATATCTTGGAGTGTCGTCAAATAATAGGAACTAGACCCGTCACCTGGGTCAGCTATTTCAAAGGAATCACTCATAAGTGTATTTTGTAAGTTCGTTGCGTGTTTACTGCCCAAAGCTGACGGCGTAGTGCAAGTTTAGATGCAGGCAAAACTGAAATACGTCACCAACAAATACGCTCTGCTAAATTACTTAAAGTTACCTATCCATTATAGAGTACTCTGCTAGTCATTTAACCGGAAGCAGTATTAAAACTTTTGGTAAGAGATGTATGGGACCCATGTGGCATGCTGTCTGTTAGTGGATCAATAAGTCGATGGACGATTGGGGGTAAACGTCCATCAATATTGAATTGTTGGAATGAACCGTAATATAAATTCATCGCATAGACCATTTAGAACGATACTTAATGATGTTTCCCTTAAGCCTGGCTTGGTCAGATGTCAATTTTGAACGAAAAAATCCCATCCTCACTTTGTCCGATTGGTCCCTTTTTCGATTTGAAAACAAGAAATTAAGCGGTTGTTTTAAGTACATGTGCTAACTAACATGTCACGCCATGTTATAAGTAACATGTCACGCAAATCATAACAAACATGTCACGTCATGTCATAACAAACATGTCACGTCATGTCATAACTAACTTGTCACGCCATGTCATAACTAAGATGTCACGTTATGTCATAACTAACATTCACGTCATGTCATAACTAACATGTCGCGCCATGTCATAACTAACATGTCACGCCATGTCTTAACTAACATGTCACGCCATATCATAGCATGTAACACATTCAAACTGTAAAAAATGTCTGAAACAAGTTTGGTTGATAGTAACTTCGATTATCGCGAAATAAATCAATATTCAGTTTGGCCCGGCAATGGGAGTATGGGTTGGAATGGTACTCCCTAGGCATCACTAGCCTAGTATGGGTTGGAATGGTACTCCCTGGGCATCACTAGCCTAGTATGGGTTGGAATGGTACTCCCTAGGCATCACTAGCCTAGTATGGGTTGGAATGGTACTCCCTGGGCATCACTAGCCTAGTATGGGTTGGAATGGTACTCCCTGGGAATCACTAGCCTAGTATGGGTTGGAATGGTACTCCCTGGGCATCACTAGCCTAGTATGGGTTGGAATGGTACTCCCTGGGCATCACTAGCCTAGTATGGGTTGGAATGATACTCCCTGGGCATCACTAGCCTAGTATGGGTTGGAATGGTACTCCCTGGGCATCAATAGCCTAGTATGGGTTGGAATGGTACTCCCTGGGCATCACTAGCCTAGGCACGCTTCTTAACACACGCCATTTTAAGTAGAAGACTGATATAAGGATTTATTGTTTGCTATAATATAATAATTGATTGTTTAATACAATATAATGATTAAGTGTTTCATACTATATAAGGATTGATTGTTTTATACAATTTAAACATTGATTGCTTGATACAATATACTGATTGATCGTTTGATACAATATAATGATTGATTGTTTGTTGCAATTTAATGATTGATTGATTGCTACAATATAATGATTGATTATTTGCTACCGTATAACGATTGATTGTTTGATACAATATAATTATTGATTGTTGGCTACAATATGATGATTGATTGTTTTCTACAATATGATGATTGATTGTCTAATACAATATAATGATTGATTGTTTTCTACATTATGATGATTGATTGTTTGATTCAATATAATGATTGATTGTTTGATACAATATAATGATTGATTGTTTGATACAATATGATGATTTATTGTTTTCTACAGTATAATGACTGATTGTTTGCTACAATATAATGACTGTTTGAAAATTTAGGCTCTGTCGAAATATTGTTGTCTGTCAGGCAAGTAGCTAGTTAAGAATTTCATGATGAAAACACCTTGCCCATCAAAGTATGCCAAGTCAAATGATTAATTGATATATACTAATTGAGTCATAATTTAAAAATGTGGTTGTGTGAGTTTGATTAAAGAAGAACGTTGACCTTATATTGATGGTCTTCCCATTTAACTCATAAACTTTAAGATTTGGTGCCTGTTCATTAAATATAGGTAGATGAGCAATGGGGCAAGAGAGGGAGACACCCGGCCACTGGAAACAAATGGAAACACAGACAACGTGAACTTTTAGACTGCAAGCGGGAAGAGAATAGAGTTAGCAAACTTGATCAACAGCTTAAAACCTGATAGTATCTTGGGCACATAAACATGGCGATATTCCTCCATAGCCAACGCAGAGGCTGTAACGGATAATTATGAATTATTCCAGCATGACAGAAATCACAGAGGAGGAGGAATACTTGTTGCTGTTCATCACAACCTGGACTGCCACTCTGGTCTAGAACTAGATGTTATTGACTGCGAGCTCCTACGGGTGAAGGTGTAGCTGAAGGGTACACGCACACTCTACGTTTTTGCCTATTACAGACCCAACACAGCAGATGAACCAAGCCTGGGGAGGTTTGAGGTATCGCTTCAGAGAGCTATACAGTCGAAGAACACCCTGCTCTTATAAAAACTTTAACTTTAATGGTTGGAACAAGCAGATTCCTGCCTTGAAGCCCAAGTCCCCATACCCTCTCCTACACTCTGACTTCATGGACATGATTAACAAACATGGTCTGGATCTTCTGGTTAAAGAAACCACCAGTGGGGAAAACAATCATGACCTACTCCTCATAAACTGTTCCCATCTCATCCCATCTCAACTGTGCCAGAAGCAGTGACTGTACCAGAAGCTCTGACTGTGCCAGAAGCTCTGATTGTGCCAGAAGCACTAATTTTGCCAGAAGCTATGGATGTGCCAGAAGCTCTGACTGTGCATGAAGTTCTTACTGTGCCAGTAGCTGTGACAGTGCCAGAAGCTCTGACTGTGCCAGAAGTTCTTTGTCAGAAGCAGGGACTATGCCAGAAGCTCTAACTGTGCCAGAAGTTCTAACTGTGCCAGAAGCTCTAACTGTGCCAGAAGCTCTAATTGTGCCAGAAGCTTTGACTGTGCCAGAAGCCCTGACTGTGACAGAAGCTCTGACTGTGCCAGAAGTCTGACTGTGCCAGAAGCTCTAAATGTTCCAGAAGCTGTGACTGTGCCAGAAGCTCTGACTGGGACAGAAGCTCTGTCTGTGCCAGAAGCTCTTAATGTGCCATAAGCTCTAACTGTGCCGGAAGCTGTGACTATGCCAGAAGCACTGACTGTGCCAGGAGCTCTGAGTGTGCCAGCAGCTCTGAATGTGCCAGAAGCTCTGACTGATCCAGATACTCTGACTTTGCCAGAAGCTCTAACTGTGCAAAAAACCTGTGATTGTGCCAGAAACACTGACTGTGCCAGAAGCTCTAAATGTTCCAGAAGCTCTGACATGCCAGAGGCTCTGACTCTACCAGAAGCACTAACTGTACCAGAAGCTGTGACTGTGCAGAAGCCCTGAATGTGTCAGAAGCTCTGACTGTGCCAGAAGCCCTGATTGTGCCAGAAGCTCTAACTGTGCCAGAAGCTGTGACTGTCCCAAAGGCTCTGACTGTGCCAGAAGCTCTGACTGTGCCAGAAGATCTGACTGTGCCAGAAACTCTAACTGTGCCAGAAGCCTTCACTGTGCCAAAACCTGAGAGTGTGCCAGAAACATGACCTTGCAAAAAGCCCTAACTGTGCCAGAAGCTCTGACTGTGCCAGAAGCTCTAACTGTGCCAGAAGCTCTAACTGCTGTCTGAAGCACTTACTGTGACAGAAGTTCTAACGGTACCAGAAGCCCTCATTGTGCCAAAAGCTCTAACTGTGCCAGAAGCCCTGACTGTGCCAGAAGATCTGACTGTGCAAGAAGCTCTGACTGTGCCAGAAGCTCTAACTGTGCCAGAAGCTCTAACTCTGCGAGAAGCACTGACTGTGCCAGAACCCCTCGATCTGCCAGGAGCTCTAACTGTGCTACAAGCCCTGAATGTGCCAGAAGCTCTCACCATGCCAGAACCCCTGACTGCTTCAGAAGCTCTAACTGTGCCAGAAGCCCTGACTGTGCCAGAAGCAATGACACTGCCAGAGCTCTAAATGTGACAGAAGCCCTGACTGTACCAGAATCTCTGACTGTGCAAGGAGCTCTGACTGTGCAAGAACCTGTGCTGTGCCAGACGCTCTAACTGTGCCAGAAGCTCTAACTCTGCGAGAAGCACTGACTGTGCCAGAACCCCCTCGATCTGCCAGAAGCTTTAACTGTGCCAGTAGCTGTGATTGTGCAAGTTGTTCTTATTGTATCAGAAGCTCATTCTGTGCCAGAAGCTAAAACTGTGACAGAAGATCTCACTATGCCAGAAGCTCTGACTGTGCCTGAAGTTCCAACAGTGCCATAAACTCTAACTGTGCCAGAAGCACTGACTATGCCAGAATCTCTGACTGTGCAAGGAGCCCTGAATGTGCAAGAACCTCTGCTGTGCCAGACGCTCTAACTGTGCCAGAAGCTCTGAATGTGCCAGAAGCCCTGATTGTGCCAGAAGCTCTAGCTGTACAAGAAGCTCTGACTGTTCCAGAAGCTCTAACTGTGCCAGAAGCCATGACTGTTCCAGAAGCTCTGACTGTGCCAAATGCTCTAACCCAGCCAGAAATTCTTACTGTGCCAGAAGCTCCAACTGTGCCAGAAGCACTGACTGTGCCAGAAGCCCTGACTTTGCCAGAAACTCTAACTGTGCCAGAAGCTGTGACTGGGCAAGAAGCTCTGATTATGTTAGAAGCACTAAATGTGCCAGAACTCTGACTGTTCCATAAGCTCTGACTGTTCCAGAAGCTCTGACTGTGCCAGAGCACTGACTGTGCCAAAAGCTCTGACTGTGCCAGAATCACTGACTTTTCCAGAAGCACTGACTGTGCCAGAAGCTCTGACAGTGTCAGAAGCTCTAACTGTGCATGAAGCTCTTACTGTGCCAGAAGCCCTCACTGTGCCAGAAGCTCTAACTGCGCCAGAAGCTGTGAGTCTGCCAGAATCTCTGACTGTGCCAGAAGCTATGACTGTGCCAGAAGCTTTCACTGTGCCAGAAGCCCTGACTGTCAGAAGCCCTGACTTTGCCACAAACTCTAACTGTGCCAGAAGCTGTGACTGTGCCAGAAGCCCTATATGTGCCAGAAGCTATGATTGTGCCAGAAGATGAGACTGTGCCAGAGGCTCTAACTGTGCGAGAAGCCCTAAATGTGCCAGAAGCTGTGACTGTGCCTGAAGCCCATTTAAGAAGCTCCTTGTTGCATTTCCAACATTATATTAGGTGGTTTTACTGCGGTCTGCTAACAATTGATGCAACAAAGAGGCTGATGTCTGCATTTGTGCTATCACGCATGGACTATTGCAATGCTCTCATGGTGGGTCTTCCAGCTACGCTCCTGGATAAAATTCAAATAGCACAGAATAATGCGGTTCGAATTGTTCTCCGCAAGTTCGACCATGCAAAAACACTTCTGAGAGAGTTGCATTGGCTGCCAGTGCGTGTTCGCATAAAGTACAAAATCGCAACTTTGTGCTACCGCTGCTTACATGACCTGGCACCGTCCTATCTGAAAGAGCTGCTGACGCCTTATGTACCCACTAGAGAGCTCCGCTCATCCGATAGTGGCAAACTCTCGACACCACGTGTTTGCCTTGAGACTTACGGAAAGCGCACTTTCGCATTGTCTGGTCCAACAATTTGGAACGCCCTTCCTGTCGATCTCAGAAACAACCAGACACTGGAGTCCTTTAAAACCGATTTATTTAAAGACACATCTATTTCGCAAACACCTTCTGGGATGAGTGTCTACCTTATTTTCAAGTTAATGCATAATGGCTGTGTTGCTTATGGTTGAAATGGCTAGAAAGACTTTGCCATTGTATGCTTGTAATTTTTTGTAGTGTTGCGTTTGTTTTAAATGTGGTAAATTATAGATTTGTTTTTTGTTGACTTTATACCGCGCTGTGTGGCATTTTTGATACATGACTTAAATACATACAAGATAACATACCTGACACATGACTTAAATACATACAAGATAACATACCTGACACATGACTTAAATACATACAAGATAACATACCTGACACGTGACTTAAATACATACAAGATAACATACCTGACACATGACTTAAATACATACAAGATAACATACCTGACACGTGACTTAAATACATACAAGATTAACTCAATAGTTGTTTTTTTAAACAAACAGACAAACAAAAAGAATGAAATTAAAAATTCTCGCTATTTTCTTGTCAAGGAAAGTCCCGAGCAATTATTTTCCCGCTCTATGTTACATTTGAGAAAATCGTGATTCACTAAGACAAAAATAGCAGAGCCCTTGCCCTCTTCATCTAGGAGGATTTCTACACGACTTACCATGTCGGGGAACTCGGCTGACATTCATTATAACTTTTAACTGTTGGCTAACTGGGAATTTAGGCCTAGAGTCCATCATAGCATCAGAGGCCCCTTGGCGTATCCCACAAACAGCAAATGATCTGAACCGTTCTATACTTTATTATAGTAGGGCGGCCGTGATCAAGTTAGCAAAATCCTGACATGTTGTATCATATCAACTTTGGTGGGGGGGGGGGGGGGGTTTTTGTTTTTAAAAAATAAAATTAACAAAAAAGCTTCCCTCACCCCCCAATTAAATTTATTTAAATAAAAAAAAACAACCCCCCCCCCCCGCTATGAATTAAATTCACGTAAAGAAGAAAACGGCTTCTTTCGCCCCTGAATGAAATCTATGTTAAGAAGAAAACGGCTTCTTTCGCCCCTGAATGAAATCTATGTTAAGAATAAAACAGTTTCCCCCGGCCGGACTCTGTTTCTACTGATGCTAGATCTAGACACACATTATCATGTCATTAAACTTGTTTCATTCATAAATGGCTCCACTCAGTTAATGATATTGCCTGTGCTAAGAAAAGAAGCTCTACAAATCAGTTTAAACAACTCTGTAATGAGATACTGAAATCTGACGTCACAACGAATATTTAAGTGTAAATATTTTATTTTCATAAAGCTATTTTTGGTGACGTTAATTTCTTTGCAATGTTTTAGGATTTTTTTTTTCATTTTTTTTTTCATTTTTTATTTTATGGTTAATTTTTTTTTTTTTTTAAATTTTTTTCAACGTGTTAAGGTTGATCAATTTATAATTTTATTTTTATAAAGTTTTTTTTTGTGATGTTTATTTTTTTTCAATTTTTTAGGATTTTTTTTTTTTTTTTTTTTTTCTTTTTTTATTTTATGGTTAATTTTTTTTTTTTTTTAAATATTGTTCAACGTGTTAAGGTTGATCAATTTATAAATTGATGTCCACACGTGTTACTAGCACTTACCTCCCTTTAATTTTATTGATTTTGATTCTAAAATATGCGTTATTTGGCTCTCACTCTGGGCCTGGCCACCATTCTCTATTATTGTCGTATATATAAAAAAAGACATGACTCTGAAGTGTCACGTTTGTGTACTGTTACATTCGTATGTTTTGTTCAAACCATCGACCCATTGTCTTATTGTCTTATTGTCTTATTGTCTTTACCATCAAATTGTTGACCAGTCTCATTAGTTTGTATTTATTTACCGCTTTACTTAAGTATGACGAACTTTGTGAAATTACATATGTAATACACATATTTATTATATATTTTTCAGAGCGAACTAGTCAGCGAACCACTGGTATATACTGAGAGAGGTTCAAGAGAGACAACTTTTGCTCACTGGATTAACTGGCCATCAAATCTACAACATCAAATCTGACAAACTTCATAACGTCCTCAACTCTCAGCAGCAAACAAACTATGGGCCCACATTTGAAACTGCACAACATTAATAGTCGTCAATGGGCAGCCATTGTGGTCGTGTTCGTTAGCACGGTGAGTGTCATCCCTGGGGTAGATGGGTTCAAATACCACGAGTTCTGTGGCACGCCTCCCATAGATATGAAAACAAGATTTCCCTTGTACCGCCTGGATGTGGACACGAAAACAGAGGGAGTACCGTGGGCATATAGACAGAACAACTCACTAACAGGTCAGTGTATATAGATAGAACAACTCACTAACAGGCCAGTGACATATAGACAGAACAACTCACTAACATGTCAGTGAATATAGACAGAACAACTCACTAACATGTCAGTGACATATAGACAGAATAACTCACTAACATTTCAGTGAATATAGACAGAACAACTCACTAACATGTCAGTGACATATAGACAGAATAACTCACTAACATGTCAGTGAATATAGACAGAACAACTCACTAACAGGTCAGTGACATATAGACAGAATAACTCACTAACATGTCAGTGAAATATAGACGGACAGAAATAATTCCCCCATTCTTACGATACGCTAAACAGTAACTTTAAACTTTTCACCACTATACGCGATTACCATCTGACAGTACAATACGTACGTACCATCTGACAGTACAATACGTGCGTACCATCTGACAGTACAATACGTACGTACCATCTGACAGTACAATACGTACGTGCCATCTGACAGTAAAATACCTATCTGCCATCTGACAGTACAATAGACGCGTACCATCTGACAGTGCTATAGGCACGTACCAAACGACAGTACAATACGTAAGTAACATGTGACAGAATCTTAACCACGAAAAAATGACAGTGAATAAACTGTTAAAGTTCAGGTTACGACTGACAAGTCATACACATGACCATAGATGACAGTGAAGCCCGGTCACGTGACATCAAAATTTATTGGGTACGTAAAATACCATCAAAGTGTAGCAGAGCTTGTCCTAAGGCGGTTGCTATTGGTGCTAACTTCTTCATCTCACTGGACAGCGAGTCTCTAGGAGCGGAACTTATGGGGCGAACATAAGAGAACAGCTCCATTGAGCAAGAGCAAGGAATTAGGTCACGTTCCATTTTGAGGTCACTCTCCAGATTGAGGTCATTTGCAGATTGAGATCACTCTCCAGATTGAGGTCACTTTCCATTGCAGCCATTACAAAAGTGAAGTAAAGCCCATTTCTCTCGTAATTATAAGTGAATTTTATCGGAAATCCATGTCAGGATTCAAAATATAAAAACAAATACATGACAAGTGACCATCATCTTCTTCTATATATTAAGGGACCACGATCAATTTATTGATAATTCTAGCCCATCTATGAATATGATATGTCCACAGCGGGCCACATACCATGATAAGCTATTGTAGCAGTTCAAGTCTAGGCGATATTTACAATGGCTTCACTACAGATTTCAATACATCAATTATATGACTTGTTGGAAGCCTGAAATCTTTTTTCGTGTAATCTAGTCTTAAATTGTCATAGGATTTAACTTTTTATTATCCTTTCAATTATCATTTTGATCATACTACAATGTTTATTTATTTTTTTATTTTCCCTATTAATATAATTAATATAATTTTATTTACAACATGAGACCATGTATATATTTCAAGTTATAATATCTCAGCTACTCTCTAGGTATAATCATAGAAGTTGAACTAATTAAATAAAATATTTGAAAGCCTATATATATGGCTATTTCTCCAGCGCCACTAAAAGCTCTAATTTATTAGGTACTTAAAATATTCTCCTTTGAAAATCTTCAAGTCTTGTATTAAGGTGGGTGGGGCTGGATCTATGGCCTTGTTATGGAAATGTTGTCTGAATTTCATGCAAACATATGCGCACATTTGTCTTGCACTTTAAAGACATCTCACGGAGAATAACAAATTACCCTACGCACTTCTTTTTTTCTTTTTAGCATTGAATTATGCGACCATAGGAAAACGGGACATTTAGTATAGATGTTGTGACCAGCATGAAGAATGAAGAGTGAAGAGTGGAGATAGCTTTCTGGACACGCCCTTGCTAAAGCAGATAACCACAGTGTCATTGTGTGCTCAATTGCGTTAAAAAGACTTATTGTAGGAAATATAAGATTGGACAAATCCAAAGAAACACGTGACTATTGTTTAATGTTCATATTCTAAGGACGTACAACTTTCTTGAATGAAGATAAGCGTGGTATTAAATACTATGGCGTAATCGGGTGAAGTTTTTTGACACTGCGTCCGGTTATTTCGATGAAATACTCGGTGGGTGCAAGTGTTAAAAAGAAAAAATGAACTTCTCATTTTCTATAATATACACAATATGTCCTACACCTTACCTCCTTGTCTTTAAACAATAGTCCTACCCACTACCTGCCGGTTTTAAACAGTAGTCCTACAGACAGTGCTACACCCTAACTTCCGGTCTTTAAACAGTAGGTTTAGAAAAAGTCCTAAACCCTACCTGCCGGTATTTAAACAATAGTCATACAGACAGTCATACGGATAGTCCTATAGACAGCCCTACCTCATACGCGTAACATTCGCCTCCGAAAATAATTCCACCTTCTGACCAGAGTTCAACCGTCACGCATGTAGCTCGCTGCTTGAGACCTTTTTCCACTCAGTGCTATTGTTATAAAACATGTTGACATTTCAGGAATCTATTACGGAGAACACTGAAGATTTGTGTTGTGCGTTTACAGCTGAATGTTATCAAAAGTATTTTATTTGGATTAGACTCGATAAACCCTATCTGTAATGAAACTAGCAGGCCGGCACTAAGATGTCAAATATAGGACGGACAGTAAAAATTGCTCCATTTGTTTGGAGAGCGTTAAAATCTCATTGACATTAATTTGGTGTACCTCACATATGTTTTGATTTATGGAGTCTCTTGAGGCAAGCAATGTTGGCAGGCCTTGTTATGAATAATGCCGTGTGACGGTGAGGACGTACAGAAAGCTTGGACCTATCACAGCATACTTGCCATGCACTTGCGTCCCGGGCTTTAAGTAGGTCCGGGTTCACTTTGGATTTAACTCATTGCCTCTAGCTTTTCAAATGTTACGAGTTCTGTAGAACCTAGGCATGTTTTGGACATCAATGGACAGTGGCGTAGCTTGGATTAGTGCCGACAAGGGCAAGCCAAGATTTTTTCCGCCCGTTCCATGAAAAAAACTTAGCAATTGCTGTCCCTCAAGATAAAGGGGGAAAGGTGATGCCCTGGGGAGACTCGGTAAATATGGATATGGATATATAAATAACTCAAGATAAAGGGAGAAATGAGATGCACTGGGGAGACACGGTAAATATAGATATATATATATAAATATATATATATATATATGTATATATATATATATATATATATATATATATATATATATATATATGGATATAATCAAATAGATTTATCCCGTCTCATCATATAACAACTTCAAGTAGCAATAACCGTCATTGCCATCAGCCCTAATGGTCTGGTAGTGTTATGGTATTGGTCATGTGTTGGCTAACACCTTCGTGAAAATTACAATGGGTACCATACATCTGATATGAGATGGACTACAAACTCTAAATAATAAATTAGACAATTTCATGCGGAACTGTTCAAGATTTCATGGCCAAGACAGTTCAATAAACACTATATGTCCCCCCTCCCCCCAAAAACTCAATACATGTTTTTGTTTCCATTGAATACAATTCCCCTCCAGGACTGGCTGCCGAATGAACAAGTTTAACATGGAGGTTTTGTATTTTTTGTGTTCTCGTTTTCCAGGTATAATTAATATTTGCAAAGTATGTAGTTTAAAGTAGAAAATTGCAATGTCGTTTTTAGAAGCTTCTTCGAGTTAACTTCTTTATTTCACGACTACGGCTGATTGTAAGTTAGTGCGATGCTAAACTATTATTGATAATGAAGGGCGTAGACGGAAATAAGTGAAACAAAGTATGGAAGCATCTAAAACAACACACAACAAAAGAAAGAACATGTCAGCGAGAAGCCTTCTTCTGTGAACAAATAACAGTTCAACAAATAGAACACTTAAATTAAACATTTAAACTAATTTCTGCAATGTTGTATCTGAAAGGATATTTCAATGGCAAAGACATCTTAATATGTCCTCTCAACTTTAAAACCCTCGAAAAGCCTAAATTGGAGTGTGAGAACCAGGTGACGCTCTCATCTTCTGAAGATCTAATCAACACAGTGTGCAGAAATAACTTAATCAATCAATTAGCTCCATGTATTATATGATGCTGACAGTTATCAGGAATAACTATGTCCGTTTGAGACAATTTTTCATTGCAAAAGTATTTTTAGAAACTAAAAATAAACTGGTTGACACGTCGGTCTTGTCTGTATTGTTCTTAAAATAGATGAATGTTACAAAATGTGTATGTTTCCGTAAAAGGTCTTTTGTGACGCGCGTCAAATTTCATTGCTCTCTTGTGGCAAGGAAAAAAATCTATCATCTAAATTGAGTCGGCTAAAATACAAAAAGCTTCATGTGCAATGTCTAACAAATTAAATCTTAGAATTGTTGTCATTATTAGTATTCTATTTGCCGAATGAACCTGGAGAGTAATCATTCAAATGTTTGCGTGTAGGAATCTACCTGTGAATGCTTTGTTCATCTGCTGTCTCTACTATCCCCTAACACTGAGTCATCGCAAACTGAGAGCGCATCTCAAACTGAGCGGTCATCTCAAACTGGGAGGTCATCTCAAACAGAAGGTCATCTCAAACTAAGAGTTCATCTAACACTGAGAGGTCATTTAAAACTAAGTCAAAGAATGTCTCAAGTCTAATGGGTGATCACTCTTTCCCACCGGAATCAGCTGTCAAATAAGCAGCTCAATCAATGTTGAATATGACAGCTTGTTGAATATGACAGCTTGTTCATGATGTTACAGGAACCGCCTAAGCCACAGAACATGCGTCATAGTTTCTATATATAAATAGATCTTGCATTATAGTTGATGGAATTGTTTTCACTACAACTGTCAATCAGCAAACTGTAGTCTGTTTTGTTTTTACATATTTTTATTGTATCGTTACTTTAGCTTTTTTGTCTGGAGATCCACTAACAACATAGGCTTATATCACCTTACTAACAACATAGGCTTATATCACCTTACTAACATCATATGCTTATATCAGCTTACTAACAACATAGGCTTATATCACCTTACTAACAACATAGGCGTATATCAGCTTACATTGGGAAAAGGTGTTGTGTAAAGAAAAAGATATCAGTTGTGGAAGACATAAAAGTTATCAAAGAACTTGGACAACACCAAGAGTTGTTTTAGGGTGTCAACACAACATAGTCTGACTCTTCCCTGATTGAAGTTTAAAGAGAAATTGAAAAGTAAGACAAACTAAAAGACAGCTAGAGCTCAAGCAGTAAATGTTAAATTCAAGAGAAAAATGACCTCTTGAAGAACACTCATTGGGGGGCGAGGCATACGCCCCAGTGTCACGCGCTGCCACCTTTCCTTGAACGCTACGGGTCATTCAGGTGGGTTCAACGGGAACGTTCTTAGGACTTTGTTGTCATTGAGAGGAACGTGCGTGCTTGACAAGGGAACAGATGCCCAATCAGTCAAGTTCAGGGGTTGGACAGGGCTAGTGAAGATGACCCCCCCCCTTATCAATCTGGCTATTAATGTAATGGGGATGGGTGTCTTGTAGGAGGGCATTTGTTATTGGAAGGATGATTTATTGATTGACATAATTTACTTAGAAGACTAGGAGAGGAGATGATTTATTTTTAAAAAGTAGACATGATTTGAGGAATAAGAGAGCAATTGTGGAATACAATAAAAATACATGTATAAGCTTTCAAATAACACCACATGCTGTCAGTGGCGTAGGAAGGGAGGTGTGGAGACATGGCGTTACTGGCGTAGTGTTGTGTAGGACACTTTTCCCCGTGCGTGAACTTTGTTTGACCCCAAATTAGATTCCTAGCACACGCTACGTTCATAGATGGGCGTGGCTTAGTCTTTTACTGCTGACTATCAACTAAACATGGTTAGTTGGTCTCCTAGTATCTTGTGGAACTTTCTCGATTTGAAGAGAACGTAAACAATGTCAAAGGTGTTTCTGGACGCATCGATAGACCCACTATATAAATAAGGAATTTCGGAGATTCAGGGAGATTGATAGATATTTTTAACTTCACGAGACGTGTATTATTCCTTGTGCACTCATATGTGTTTATTCGCATTCATCATTCATCTATAAAAGGCAAAGGCCTCACTCACTCACTCACTCATCACTAATTCTCCAACTTCCCCTGTAGATAGAAACCTGAAATTTGGCAGGCTTATTCCTTACTGCTCACATAAAAAAGTTAATTATGTTTCATTTCCAAACTCTATACCGTTTGGGGCCGGGGGCCCAAAATGTCGTTTGTTTCCTATATGAGCCATATAAATAAAATGATCAACAAATACTGCTACATGAATCGATGGATCTTGACCAAACTTAATACACATACTCTTGATTAGCCATATTCAAATGCCGAAGGGTACTTAACGCATAATATCCATACCACTGGGGCCGGGGGCCCATTTTATTTTTCCTTATATAAGCATTATAAATATCAATGTGCTTAGTACTCCGACATGAATAGATGGATCTTGACCAAATATTCAAATACTTAAGGTTATTAAACTCATATATACATTTCTCTAGGGCCCCATTTCATTTTTTTCTTATCTATACTAATAAAAGGCAAAGCCCTCACTCACTCATCACTAATTTTCCAACTTCCCTTGTAGATAGGAGTCTCAAATTTAGCAGGCTTATTCCTTACGGCTTACTTACAAAAGTTAATCAGGTTTCATTTCGAAACTCTACCCAGAACGGTCACAACCGGGGCCCTGAATTTTGATTTGTTTTTTTTTTCTTATATGATATATATTAATAAAATTAATAACAATATTAAAATTAATAATTAATGACAAATACTGCTATATAAGTATCTGGATCTTGACCAAACTTAAATTACATACATTTGATAATCCATATTCAAATACTGAAGGGTACTTAACACGTGATATGCATCTCTCTGGGGCCGGGGCCTCTTTTCATTTTTCCTTATATAGGCTAGATAGATAGCAATAGGCTTAGTACTCATATCTGAATAGATGGATCCTGACCAAACTTAGTACACATACTCTTGATTATCATATATATATTCAAATACAGAATGTTATATAACTCATAATATTCTTACCTCTGGGGCCCCTTTTATTATTTATTTTATAACCTTTCCAACCTTTCTCCAACTTCCCATGCAGATAGAAGCCTGAAATTGGCAGACATATTCCTTACGGCCTACTTACAATGTTAAACAGGTTTAATTTCGAAACTCTACTTGGAACAGTCTCAACCGGGGGCCCCAAAGTTTGCTTTGTTTGTTTCTTATATGATATATATATAAATAAAATTAACTACAAATACTGCTACATGAATATCTGGATCTTGACCAAACTTAATTTACATACATTTGATTATCCATATTCAAATAAGGAAAGTTTTTTAACACATAATATCCATTCCTCTGGGGCCGAGGGCCCCATTTCATTTTTCCTTATATAAGCTATATAAATAGCAATAGGCTTAGTACTTCTACGTGAATTGGTGGATCTTGACCAAACTTAATACACATAATCTTGATTATCCCTACTCAAATAACGAAGTGCACTAAACTGAAAATATCCATAGCTCTGGGGCCGGGGCTCCATTTCATTTTTTTTCTAATATAAGCTGTATCAATATCACTAGGGTTAGACAACACCATAGGTTCTATGAGATTAGCTGGATTTAGGCGTTGCTTTGTAGCAATACCATTCTTAGTCCGTTTTAAAATAGCGTTTGATTTAATATCCAATCCTTTCAAGGCCGATCTAGAATTTTCTAGAAACGTTGATATCTTGAAAGAGCTATGTATATGGCATTTGTAAACCACTTTTAATAGGACAAGCTTTAAATTTATAATTTATCTTCTTCTTCTATATCTTAAGGGCCCACGATCAATTTATTGATCATTTTGGCTCCTATGCATGTAGATGGGATTTGCAATGTTTCTGTTACTGGTGGTGATGAGGAAATTATGCACTAGGGGTTTGAAGGCTTGAGGCAATAGACACAAATGCGTCTAGTGTTGTCGCCTCAACTGTTCCTTTTGAAAGATGGTTCCAGTCCCTGATTGTCTTGGGCAGGAATGAGCAGCTCCTATACTGGCTTCTTGCTGGTATGAGCCTGAATTGCCTGTCATGGCCTCGTCGCTGTCTATGGGGGAGAGGGACGAGTTTCTGTTTAATACTGGAACAGTGGACCAGCCCATTATTTATCTTGTACATCATGGAGAGCCTGGATTGTCGTCGTCGTTTCTCCAATGGTGACCAGCCTAGTGTTTCCAGCATGCTGCCAACACTAGAGGTATTCCTGTAGCGGTTTAGGACAAAACGTGCTGCTCGTCGCTGGACCGCCTCCAACCTGTCAATGCTCTTCTGGGTAAATGGGTAATTTTTATACCCCCCCCCCCCACCCCACAATCTCAGACATATATAAAACGGTACTTTATTGAACAGGCCCCCAACGGGGCCCCCGTATCAATTTAAATGTATTATAGTTATTAGCACAATTTGTTGTATAACATTTCGCATTCGAGAAATAATTACATAGAAAAGTAATTTTTACACGTTTCATGGAGGATATTAAATTTAATCTAGAATGTTCTATATTTTGTCTACAGGGATATATCATTAGATCTATAAGCGTATCCAAACAAATCACACTGAGCATGATCCCATAGAGAAACAGGATCCTAATGGGACACATCGGGTACGCGTTTTCATCGGGGAACAGGATATCATCGAGATCCCATCGGGTAACGGGCTCAAACCGGGATCAGGATCCCATCAGAAAAAGGGATAACAGGGAAAAGAGAGTCCCTAGGAGGAACGGGATCCCTCAATGAACGGTATCCTAACGGGATCGGTAGCGCATCCGGATCCACTGAGATCAGGATCTCACTGGGTTCAAGACACCGACGGGATCGGGATCCCAACGGGATCTGGATTCCCCCTGGATCCGGAGCCACAAAGAAATAGGATTCCACCGGGAACGGGATAAAAGCGGGAAAAGGGATTGCACCGGGATCGGGTTCAGAATGAATAAGGGACTCATTAGAATTGGGGTCTTACCAGGATCGGGCTCCCAAGGACAGACCCTACAAAAAGTTGGCATTGATTTGAAGCAGGTTTGATTTTGGCAAGGGAATGCATTATATAATCTCCAGAATATGCGGATACTTGATAATTTCGTACTTTTTGTTTCTTAAAAAAAGCTCACCGAAGCGAAGCGCAGATATTTTGCTAGTAATTATTAATTGGTACTGTTTTGGGTATCGTAATTTTGTTATTGTATTTTTCTATGGTATCGTCCTTTGTTAGGCACTGAGTCTGTTCGAACGAGCCATCAATTAAAAATAGGAGATTAATTTCTCACAATAGATTTCAGTGCGTAACCCGTAGGAAAGGAGGTGTTGAGAAATGCAGTCAGTGGGGTAGGAAGGGAGGTGTAGAGACATGACGTCACTGGCGTAGAAATGAAGGTGTGGAGACATGCAGTCAGTGGCGTAGGAAGGGAGGTGTGGAGATATGCAGTCAGTGGCGCAGGAAGGGAGGTGTAGAGACATGCCGTAAGTAGCATAAGAAGGGAGGTGTAGAGACATGCAGTCAGTGACGTAAGAAGGGAGGTGTTGAGACATGCATTCAGTGGCGTAGGAAGGGAGGTGTTGAGACATGCAGTCAGTGGCGTAGGAAGGGAGGTGTTGAGACATGCAGTCAATGGCGTAAGAAGGGAGCTGTTGAGGCATGCAGTCAGTGGCTTAAGAAGGGAGGTGTAGAGACATGCAGAAAATGACGTAAGAAGGGAGGTGTAGACACATGACGTCACTTGCGTAGGAAGGAAGGTGTGGAGACATGCAGAAAGTGGCGTAGGAAGGGAGTTGTAGAGACATGCAGTCAGTGGCGTAGGAAGGGAGGTGTAGAGACGTGCAGTCAGTGGCGTAGGAAGGGAGGTGTTGAGACATGCAGTCAATGGCGTAGGAAGGGAGGTGTTGAGACATGCAGTCAGTGGCGTAAGAAGGGAGGTGTAAAGACATGCAGTCAGCGGGGTAGGAAAGGAGGTGTCGAGACATGCAGTCAGTGGCGTAGGAAGGAGAGTGTAGAGACATGCAGTCTGTGGCGTAAGAAGGGAGGTGTAGAAACATGCAGTCAGTGGCGTAGGAAGGGAGGTGTAGAGACATGACGTCACTTGAGTAGGAAGGAAGGTGAGGAGACATGCAGTCAGTGGCGTAGTAAGGGCGGTGTAGAGACATGTAGTTAGTAGCGTAGGAAGTGAGGTGTAGAGACATGCAGTCAGTGGCGTAGTAAGGGCGGTGTAGAGACATGTAGTTAGTAGCGTAGGAAGGGAGGTGTGGAGACATGATATTACTGGCGTATGTAAGGAGGTGTTGTGACTTACCGTTAGTGGCGTAGGATGGGAGGTGAAGAGACATGCAGTCAGTTGCGGAGGAATGAAGATTTGGAGAAATGCTGTCAGTGGCGTAGGAAGGGAGGTGAAGAGACATGCAGTCAGTGGCGTAAGTAATAGTTGCGGAGACATTCAGTCAGTGGCGTAGGAAGGGAGGTGTAATGACATGCAGTCAGTGGCGTAGGAAGGAGGGTCTAGAGACATGCATTCAGTGGCGTAGGAAGGAGGGTGTAAAGACATGACGTCACTGGCGTAGGAAGGGAGGTGTAGAGACATGTAGTTAGTAACGTAGGCAAGGAGTTGTAGTGACTTGCAGTCAGTGGCGTAGGAAGGAAAGTGCAGAGACATGCAGTCAGTGGCGCAGGAAGGGAGATTTGGAGACATGCAGTTAGTTATATAGGAAGAAAAGGTGTCGAGACATGCAGTCAATGGCGTAGGAATGGAGGTGCGGAGACATGCAGTTATTGGTGCATGAAGGTAGGTGAGGAGGGACGGTCTTCTCCGGGCTGGTGTCAACTCCTATAACGTCTTCTTGGATTGATTACATTCGTCAGTTCTTTCATACGTTGAAGCGTCGTACTATTCTCACTATCATTGATCAAACTCAACTCCTTTTGATAATAACTATAACTTTAATATCTAAGTAAATATAATAAACATCCTATCACTCCAAGGTTCCACTCAAGACTGCCAGCACGACTAAAACATACGTCACAACACTGCATAGACAATACGTCACGAATCAGCACAAAAATACGTCATAAAGACAATGGCGGGAAGAGCGTTCACTAACTATAATAGTCAAGCGCGGGAAAAGCGTTCAACAACTAATGAACATAATATTGAGTCGCAACAATTACTAATGAACGCTCATACTCGACATATCCCCCCTCTTTCATTTCAGATTTTACTCAGGGAGTGAAATCGTCACCAGACATACAAAATTTACATCAATTACATCAAGAAGAACCCTTCAGCCATATGAATGGTCCTTATCAAAAAACATTATTTAGGTATCACTGAAAATCAAACAGATTTATGATATACTGCAATAAAATAAACAATCCTTCGTACATAATTTTAACTGCAATTCAAGAGTTAAAAATTCATGTACGACAATAAAAATCAGACCATTGAAATTGAATGTCAACGTTAATTTTCATTTTTCATACCAAAAAAAAAATTATATTTTTATCTAAAAAATCAAGGCAAATACATCAATATCCTTACTGAATTTGAAACTATAACTAACTTAATCCAAATCATATCATAAAAAAGGTGTATTTTTAAACAAAACCAATTGCCATCACTATAAAAACACAAAACTATCTAACATTATTACAGGTGAGAGATGCCTCACCACAATTTGAGCAGCCTTTATTTGCTCTTAAATAACACAGCTACAGATGGCGGGACATATCTTTTGTCCGTTGATTTCACAACTTTATGCTTCAACATGTTTATTATAATTAGAATTATCTCTCCCTGTTCTTTTGACCCATGGTCATAACTCATGTGAAACCTCAGTTTTACAATACATATTTTTAAATTGTTACAAAATGAAAAACGAGTCTCATAAAAAAGAAATTCAAACAAATCAGGAACTTCAAAGCAATCATGGCAATAGTTCATTTTAACAGATTCATTTTGTTTAACAATACAATCAAAAGCCTCACCTCCCAACTCATGGACCTGACAACTCACCTCCTCTTGAAAATCATAAACAAGTGCACCTTTAGAGCTGGCAGCGCTCTCTTTAACACTTTCAACATTGGTTTCCAACTTAATGTTAGAGCACTCCTGGCTCTCAAAATCTGGGCAACCTTCAATCACATTACTTGGGAAATTATTTTCATTACAACTATCTGTAACAATATGTACATTTGAGCAGCCCTGGCTCACATTTACAGGTGATTCATTATCATTACAATTATCCGTAACAATATGAAAATTTGAGCAGCCCTGGCTCACATTTACAGGTGATTCATTATCATTACAGCTATCCGTAACAATATGAAAATCTGAGCAGCCCTGGCTCACATTTACAGGTGATTCATTATCATTACAGCTATCCGTAACAATATGAAAATCTGAGCAGCCCTGGCTCACATTTACAGGCGATTCATTATCATTACATATCTCTGTAAAAATATCAACATTTGAGCAACCTTTGCTCACATTACACAGTGACTCATTTACATCACAATAATTATCAACAACAATTTTCTCTCCTTCCCCCACCTCAGGGATTACACTCACCTCATAAACTTTACACAAAAAATCAGACACTTTAACTTTAGGACTTACATTATCTGATGGCTCACCATGAGATACAACAAAAATCATGTCCTCAGACATTAGAACAGGGTTCTCTTTGCTTTCAATTCCGCACGTTTCCATAACAACCAGTTCATTACATGTTGTGTCACTGGGACAATCCCCTACATACGTCCACCTAAGGTCATTTCCAATGACTTCCGCTTTATTAAATTGTCGTCCCCTTTCTTCTTTACATTGGACTTCCTGGGATACACCAACTACTTCAACCTCGTTTTGACATGAATCTAAAGCTATATCGGTCAACGTTGTCCCTTTTAAAGTCAGCTGACGGACCAATTAACAAATCACTGTCATTCCTTTTTAAAAAAATTGAGTCGTCAGCAGAGGCAATAATATCATTTTGTTCCTCTGTATCTTTAGCCATGAACCGTGGTTGCGAGGCCGGCTCTTGCCTGGGGTCAGGATCATGAGTATGTCCACCGTTATCCACACATTTGTTTTCACTTACATTAATAGAAACTCTATTAAAATTTTTATATGGATTCTCACAGTGAATGCTGGCAATGCCATAATATATTTCTTCCCCCTCACTCTCGTCATCGTCACTGTCGTTATAATAATATGCCTGACTATTTAATTTATTCATATTTAACAGCGACATTTTCAGTCAACTTCTGGGCATTTTTCATCGAAGTGTCAGCAGGCTTGACCCGCCGCGGTCGACACTAGCAAAAGCTACGCCCCTGCTTGCATTTAACGGTCTTATTTGTGCGTTTATCTCTTGGTAAAAAGCCATATTGTTTTTAATATTCTTTAAAATAATCCCATTTCCCATCTATTATTATTCATGGATTTTTTCCGGCAACTTAATTTACTTAAAATACATTGCAGGCCATCTTGAAAGAAATCATAAATAACTTCATTAGGTCAACACTTTTTTGTGTATAAATAGTGTGAAGAAGCCATTTATCAAATACATATACATAAATATCCATGCAGAGTATAGATAAAATAAGATTATGCATGGCAATCATACAATAATTAACGAGGCGGAGACCCAATTAATGATTACAAAAAGAGACTTGCGGTCAATTGTGTCCATTGTTAGTTCACTATGAAGGTTCCATAGGTTCCATCTCCATGGACGGGATAGAAAGAGTCACATTATGCTGCCTCTTTGGCCAACGGCATTTGGCGTCTCTAGGTTTGGTGTCACTCTATTTGATACTACTGGGTTTGGCGTCTCTAAGTTTGGAGTCACTCTATTTGATACTACTGGGTTTGGCGTCTCTAGGTTTGGTGTCACTCTATTTGATACTACTGGGTTTGTCGTCTCTAGGTTTGGAGTCGCTCTATTTGATACTACTGGGTTTGGCGTCTCTTGGTTTGGTGTCACTCTATTTGATACTACTGGGTTTGTTGTCTCTAGGTTTGGTGTCACTCTGTTTGATACTACTGGGTTTGGTGTCTCTAGGTTTGGTGTCACCCTATTTGATACTACTGGGTTTGGCGTCTCTAGGTTTGGTGTCGCTCTATTTGATACTACTGGGTTTGGCGTCTCTAGGTTTGGTGTCACTCTATTTGATACTACTGGGTTTGGTGTCTCTAGGTTTGGTGTCACTCTATTTGATACTACTGGGTTTGTTGTCTCTAGGTTTGGTGTCGCTCTGTTTGATACTACTGGGTTTGGCGTCTCTAGGTTTGGTGTCGCTCTGTTTGATACTACTGGGTTTGGCGTCTCTAGGTTTGGTGTCGCTCTTTTTGATACTACTGGGTTTGGCGTCTCTAGGTTTAGTGTCACTCTATTTCATACTACTGGGTTTGTTGTCTCTAGGTTTGGTGTCACTCTGTTTGATACTACTGGGTTTGGCGTCTCTAGGTTTGGTGTCACTAGGTTTAGTGTTTATATTTTTTATGCCATCCCGTACTGTGCACTCATACTCTTAAGTCTGTACACCCTGCGAATTGAAACTAAAACTGATCACTCTGTAAATCTATAGTTGACCATTCTGCCAATCTAAAGCTGAGCACTCTGCCAATCTATAGATGGAACCTACAATTATTTGGCAACGTGTCACAAACAATTGCCATGAAACTAATATATTATTTTTTTAAAATAATACCACATGATGCACATTCTTTCACCCTTCACCCCACGCATTCTCTAAATAGTCTAAATATGATAAACTGATCTCTGCAAGGAGGATGAGACATTCAAGTGCAATTAGCAATCAAATTCAAAACCAAAATTTCAGTTCGAATAACATACCTTTGAACAATTAAGTATTTCCGGCAATTTATATATTTTCCTGTCAGGGTCAGCGTCACAATATGAAAAAGTCCAACAACGCTCTATATTAAAAAAATAAGTTTGAAACAAATAAAATTACATTACACCTGCAACTGTACAGACAGCATCAAAGATTCAGTAATGTAATGTTGACACGCAATTGATGTGGAAATAATAAATAGTGTCAAATCTTAGCAATAATAAAAACGGGCTTTTGAGAATCAGTAACTAGGCTGTGGTGTCTGTAACAAACAAGGGATGTGGTGCCCGTAGCAAAGGCTGAGGCCTTGTATCAAAAGAATAAAGTCAAGCAGATCTTTATGACATGTGTTTCCTCTTTCCCCAAGGTCCGTGAAAGCCTTGAATCAAACGTATAAAAACAAGCATATCTTTATGTCATTTGTTTCCTCTGTCTCCAGTGTCCGTTAAAGCCTTGAATCAAACGTATAAAATCAAGCAGATCTTTATGTCATTTGTTTCCTCTGTTCCCAAGTGTCCGTGAAAGCCTTGTATCAAAAGTATAAAATCAATCAGATCTTTATGTCATTTGTTTCCTCTGTCCCCAGTGTTCGTGAAAGCCTTGAATCAAAAGTATAAAATCAAGCAGATCTTTATGTCATTTGTTTCCTCTGTCCCCATGAAGTGTCCGTGAAAGCCTTGTATCAAAAGTATTAAATCAAGCAGATCTTTATATCATTTGTTTCCTCTGTCCCCAGTGTCCGTGAAAGCCTTGTATCTAAAGTATTAAATCAAGCAGATCTTTATGTCATTTGTTTCCTCTGTCCCCATGAAGTGTCCGCGAAAGCCTTGTCTCAAAAGTATTAAATCAAGCAGATCTTTATGTCATTTGTTTCCTCTATCCCCATGAAGTGTCCGTGAAAGCCTTGTATCAAAAGTATTAAATCAATCAGATCTTTATGTCATTAGTTTCCTCTGTCCCCAGCGTCTGTGAAAGCCTTGTATCAAAAGTATAAAATCAAGCAGATCTTTATGTCATTTGTTTCCTCTGTCCCCAGCGTCTGTGAAAGCCTTGTATCAAAAGTATAAAATCAAGCAGATCTTTATATCATTTGTTTCCTCTGTCCCCAGTGTCCTTGAAAGCCTTGTATCAAAAGTATAAAATCAATCAGATCTTTATGTCATTAGTTTCCTCTGTCCCCAGCGTCTGTGAAAGCCTTGTATCAAAAGTATAAAATCAAGCAGATCTTTATGTCATTTGTTTCCTCTGTTCCCAAGTGTCCATGAAAGCCTTGTATCAAAAGTATAAAATCAAGCAGATCTTTATGTCATTTGTTTCCTCTGTCCCCAGTGTTCGTGAAAGCCTTGAATCAAAAGTATAAAATCAAGCAGATCTTTATGTCATTTGTTTCCTCTGTTCCCATGAAGTGTCCGTGAAAGCCTTGTATCAAAAGTATTAAATCAAGCAGATCTTTATATCATTTGTTTCCTCTGTCCCCAGTGTCCGTGAAAGCCTTGTATCTAAAGTATTAAATCAAGCAGATCTTTATGTCATTTGTTTCCTCTGTCCCCATGAAGTGTCCGTGAAAGCCTTGTATCAAAAGTATAAAATCCAGCAGATTTTTATGTCATTTGTTTCCTCTGTCCCCAGTGTCCTTGAAAGCCTTGTATCAAAAGTATTAAATCAAGCAGATCTTTATGTCATTTGTTTCCTCTGTCCCCAGTGTCCGTGAAAGCCTTGTATCAAAAGTATAAAATCAAGCAGATCTTTATGTCATTTGTTTCCTCTGTCCCCAGTGTCCTTGAAAGCCTTGTATCAAAAGTATTAAATCAAGCAGATTTTTATGTCATTTGTTTCCTCTGTCCCCAGTGTCCGTGAAAGCCTTGTATCAAAAGTATAAAATCAAGCAGATCTTTATGTCCGTGCCGTCCATGACGAAAGGAACACCGGAAATTCCCGCTAAAAAGATCCATTTGGGAGAGTGGAAGTGGGATATGAAGGTAAGATTCTCATTTGCAATAGAGCAGTCTCACATCATTCTAAAATTGTACATAATGGATGTGGACATCTCTCTAGTGATCTATGGCGTACAAGAGAACAATTACGCTTATCAATCTCCACTATGCTACAGAAGAATTCTGGAATTTGTAGGCACGAGCTTTGTTGAAAGGGAAAATTGTTCAACGGAAATTTGCTCGAACAGAAATTTGTTCGAATTGAAATAATGTGGGTAAAAAAAAATGATTAAATATTAAAAGGTTTATATTGTCCCTATGTCCCAGTCGCATCGCACCTTCCCTTATAAACACAGTTAAAAACACTATTTAAAACACTGTTAAAACAATTAAATAAACAGACACCGGATTTTTTTTTATTTGATAGACGGAATTTCGATTAACTAAATTGTGGTCAAACTGAAATTTGGTCAAATGTAAATTTCTTCAAACGGAAATTTCCGTTTAACAATTTTTCTTAATCTAACTGTCTTTCAAACAAATTTCTGGCAAACTCTGTATCATGAATGTGGGCATCCATCAGATGTTCAATGTCAAAGTTAGTAAAATAAATGCCTTCTGTGGCCCATGTTTAGAGAACTCATTTATGAAACCTCTATTTCTTGTGATTGCTGTGAATACATTTAAAATCCCGAGTTAATGACGGTGACTTAAAGTGTCAAATGTTCCAACGGTAGAAGTCATTTGGTGGTGCGTGTCCGGGGACATTGCTTTTTAAAAAATACAGTGGCTGGAGCTGGAATTGTATTTCGTGGCTGAAGCCAACACTTGCAAAGAAATGCCCTGTGTTTTGTTGTTTTTTTTTGTTTTGTTTTTGTTGTTTGTTTTGTTGTTGTTGTTTTTTTTTTTGGGGGGGGGGGTGGGTTTGTTGATCATTTCATGCGTTCCGCAGTAACTGTTGACTTCGAGCTTTATGGAGCCTTTGTGTTCAGAGAAGCGAGAAAGGTATCTAGGGTTTGCTGTTTTTTCCATGAGTCCCTGGTTGATGCAGCTTACATTCAGTGAGACGTTCAGGTGACTTGGAAACTTTTCTTTTCACCTCCAATTGACCGTCTGCCATGCTCAAGCTTTCCATAAACTATTCTCTTAGAGACACGGATGTTTGCCATAGGGTACAACCTTCCTCGTCCAGTGTCAGGATGGCAAAATGCTGGGAAGACCTCCTTGTGAGACCCTCTGGGGTGTACCTCTGTCCTTGGCAACTTATTATAGTGTATAGCTATGACAAATTATTAAATTAAATTGGAATATAAGTCTAATTATAAATTTCTTCAGCACTATCCATTCATTCGGTCCAATAGATGTAATTTATTTTTTTGTTAGTATCATCTCTGTTTGTTTGGATCAAATCTTGAAGGTCTCTTTAAACCCACTTCTACTGATTCGTATATACATATTCGGTGACAATACATTAGTATGTCATATTTGGACGCAATGTTTCCAAAACAAACTTTACTTTCAAGTCTATGAGCTCTTGGATTTATTATTCGAATTTCTTGCATAATGTTGTGATGTTCCCATCTTATTTCCTTCAGGGTGGAGTTATCCCTATTGATTGCTCAAACGCCGCCGGTGGATTTGGTGGCGCTGCGAACGCTGTGAGGAACTTGTGGTGGTACAAAGATGGTTTCTACAACATAACTGGGGAGTGGGATCCCATCAACACCATTTACAACGCTTACAACATTGACATGATACAGTTCGAGTAAGATTTTTTTCTCACCGCGATGGTATATTTTCTATCTCTGTTATAGTTATTTACCACGATTATCAGAGCATCGGGAAGATACTAGATGGTATGAATATCCCTGAGAAAGCTGTTCCCAGGCAACCGTTTCATCCCAGCTACTTTACAAAATAGTTGCATAGTATAAACCCACTGTAGAAACCCTCTTAGAGTGCGCCTGACGCTTCCCCGGGATAGGTGGCGGAAGATATTAGGACTTTAATATACCATCCCGACTCCCTGGGAGAGTCGGTTGCGGACGTTTTAAGCCCAGCGTTTTCGGAAAACCGGATGTCCCTGGGTGGAGACAGCCTTTATCTGTAAACCCGATCGAGGGGGTGGGGCAGTCTCGGTAGGGTGAGGTACCTGGCGTGCCACCGCACGGCCCGGCATCGGGGAGACCCAGTGTTTGGGCTGTGTGGAGGTGAGTTGGGAGCTCACGCTGAGCTTTTGATGCAGAGCAATATGTGAAATCCCAACATTTGTGATCTCTGCTTGTTTGTGATCTCTGCTTGCTTGTGATCTCTGCTTGCTTGTGATCTCTGCATGTTTGTGATCTCTGCTTGTTGGTGATCTATGCATGTTTGTGATGTCTGCTTGTTTTTGATCTCTGCATGTTTGTGATCTCTGCTTATTTGTGATCTCTGCTTGTTTGTGATATCTGCATGTTTGTGATCTCTGCTTGTTAGTGATCTCTGCTTGTTAGTGATCTCTACTTGCTTGTGATCTCTGCCTGTTTGTGATCTCTTCGTGCTTGTGAGGTCTGCTTGTTTGTGATCTCTACTTGTTTGTGATCTTTGCTTTTTGTGATCTCTGCTTGTTTTTTATCTTTGCCTGCTTGTGATCCCTGCCTGCTTGTGAGGTCTACTTGCTTGTGAACTCTGCTTGTTTTTTATATCTGCTTGTTTGTGATCTTTGCTTTTTGGTGATCTCTGCTTGTTTGTGATCTCTGCTTTTTGGTGATCTCTGCATGTTTGTGATCTCTGCTTGTTGGTGATCTCTGCTTGTTTGTGATCTCTGCGTGCTTGTGAGGTCTGCTTGTTTTTTATCTCTGCATGTTTGTGATCTTTGCTTTTTGTGATCTTTGCCTGCTTGTGATCTCTGCCTGCGTGTGAGGTCTGCTTGCTTGTGATCTCTGCTTGTTTGTGATCTCTGCTTGTTTGTGATCTCTGCTTGTTTGTGATCTCTGCTTGTTTGTGATCTCTGCTTGTTTGTGATCTCTGCTTGTTTGTGATCTCTGCTTGTTTGTGATCTCTGCTTGTTTGTGATCTCTGCTTGTTTGTGATCTCTGCTTGTTTGTGATCTCTGCTTGTTTGTGATCTCTGCTTGTTTGTGATCTCTGCTTGTTTGTGATCTCTGCTTGTTTGTGATCTCTGCTTGTTTGTGATCTCTGCTTGTTTGTGATCTCTGCTCGGTTGTGATCTTTGCTTTCTTGCTTTAAAGTTGTATGATACTTGGCTGCTGGTTTAAAGATTATTGAGAGTTACATACAATAAACTCTTCAAAATAATACACTCATATATCATACATACGGATATGTGTCAGACTCACATAATCACATAGTCTAAAAAAAAACAGTCATTGTTACACAATAATTTTTTTGAACATATCGTTACAAATTATGTAGTACGTGAAGGTGAACATATCAGAGATTTAAACTATTTGTAAGTACAATTAATTATATTTAGTTAGTAACAATATTGTCTCTTGGATATAAAAATGTATTTTAAGATCAAAGTTTAAATGTAAGACTAAATTATTATGTCCGGTTAATTGAGTTAGGTAGATGAAAGGAACAGCAGCACAAACTTCATCAAATTTGGCTGAGGCCGTTATTTACATTGATAGGAAACGGAAGCACTAAATTATAACAGATTAAACATATTACTTTAAAGTGCACTGTAGCAAACATGAAATGAGTTGCCTCTTTTTAACACAGGGTCTACGTGTCACCCGATGAGGAAGAAGCCGCCACCCCCCTACCAGCAGGGGCGGCTGGCCCCACCCCCCAGGCCATGAGATGGGTCAAGTTAATGTCTGACAAATTCATCAACCTGGATTACATAGATTTACACAGATGTATGTCTCTTTTAGGGTTGTACATATATTTACACAGATTATGTCTCTTTTAGGGTTGTACATAGGTGTACACAGATGTATGTCTCTTTTAGGGTTGTACATAGATTTACACAGATGTATGTCTCTTTTAGGGTTGTACATAGATTTACACAGATGTATGTCTCTTTTAGGGTTGTACATAGGTTTACACAGATGTATGTCTCTTTTAGGGTTGTACAAAGGTTTACACAGATGTATGTCTCTTTTAGGGTTGTACATAGGTTTACACAGATGTATGTCTCTTTTAGGGTTGTACATACGTTTACACAGATGTATGTCTCTTTTAGGGTTGTACATAGGTTTACAGAGATGTTCGTATATCAGTATTTAACATAAGTTTGAAGTTTGATCAACTTATAAATCCAAATAGTGGATCTTTTAGACGACGTATCCTAACATAATGGTGACATTTTTGGTATTCCTCCATGTCATAGTCTCTCAAGTGATTAAATGGTTATAAACAACATATTTCTTTGCAATACAGTAGAAATAAATTCGAAGTTCATCTTGCACGTATCTTTATTTAAACAATGAATTAAATTAGAACTTGGCTGTTGAGATCTTTGTGTACAGAACGATTTTACCAAATCACACTTTCTTCCGGATTTTGTGATGAATCGATGAAACTTATTGTGGAAATGCTTCGATTATTAAATATTAGTAAAACTCTCAAATTCCCTCTTTACTTTGACAATTTTAAAAATTAATTATTTTATCTAATTCGGCGATTGGTTTCGGGAGTTTAAAAGCTGTTAAGTCAAAAATTAAATCTTAGACTGTAGGTTTTTCTTTATAGCTTCGCCATTTCAGTTCAGTAGAAAAACATGACCCACGGAAAGTAATACATTAAATGACCCAAGAAAATTAACACATTAGACATAATTTAAAAGGGATGAAATTGTCACGCCAATTTATGAGGACCCCCTGATTTTTTCCCTAGATCTACGTGTCCACCCACATGCCCAGTGGGTTTTGAGTGGGATCGGAGGCAGCTGAATCAAAGGTTCACAACTCACTACAATAGTCTTATAGTGGTGACTTACAATGCTTTGTTTTACTTCCCTTACTCCTTTAACTTTTGGTTAACATGTGAAGTCTTTTAACCTGATGCTCCTGTCATGACAACTTATGGTAGGGTCATCAATTGTACAGGTTGCCTGGTTTCATTTTAACTTATCGGACTTCGGGCGTCTCCCACTAATGACGGCAAGGGGCTCAAATGTTCATCACGTAGGCCTACTAATGATTATAAAATGACTGGTTCCTTTTTAAATCACATGCAAAAGATTCGTTTATTCAGTCTTTGTGTTGTAATTTAAGGGGGAGGGGCGGTTATCACTTGAAAATGTCGGATCAAGTTTCAAAAGTAAATGAATGCGTCATTTCGGAATAGTAATAATCTGCTTTCTCCTCATTGAACCTTAAACCCGAATACCATTATACTTTGAGGCAGTGGTTCCAGGACAATTCATGAAAACATATGAACCTTTCTATGTTGAAACACATTACCTTTCCTGAACCTCATGCGGCAGTTCAAAGATTTAAATCCACAAATTTAACTTTATTTTTTCTCTAACACAATAATTATTAATGATGTATAACCAAAATGAAATAAAGCATTAAATATTTGCAGCTATTTTTAGAATGAAACATTTAATCTCTACCTAACATTAAACTAAATTGTTAAACATGGATTGAATGGGTGTAGATTTTGAGACACAAACAATTGGGCAATATGTGTTGGATCATACCAATGATTATTAAGTCTAAGTATGCTATATGTATTCTTTATCTGATCATAACCAAATTAATTAAATACCAAAAGAATGATTCAAATAAATCTAACCTGATGATGCTTTTCAATTATCTTAGATTTTGCTAATTTGTATGTCATTTTAAAAGACCCTGGCTTTTTATCTACTTAATTTTACCATTAGAAGCTAGAGCTTAGATCTGTTTTATATATTATTAAAAGTTAAGAATTGAAAATTAATACGTTGAAATATTTTCAAATAATTTTTATTAGACCTCTAGCTGATTATAATTTTATAATTTTGATGTTTACTATTTGAATTATTTCACACACAAAAAAAAAGATTTTGGATATTATTGCATAAAAATTCCTTCTGAAAAATAATGCCTAATAATAAATGATTATTTTCCCGCCAGGGGTCAGGTCGGTGTACGGGCCTTATATCCAGACAGCCAACAACAACGCTGGAATTTCAGACGGAGAAATTTAAATCAACAACACCAGAAACTAAATGACGAGAGTGCGTTCAGATCTCAGAAAACTGTATTTTGTACCCATGACCTTCACATCAGGGACATAGATAGGACGCCGTATTGATCGGTCGAGGAGTGAACTTTTAAGGTCGCGAATTATTTAAGTGTCTTAGTTTCTTTTCAATTCAAGCCTCAACTATACAGTTTTAATCTATTTTTTTAATTGTAAATAAAAAGTGGTGTTCTTTATCATGATATGTAAATATACGACTCAAACTAGATCATTCCAGAGACTCCGTAGCCTATTTAATTGATGTTAGAATAGTGTTAATTTTACTGCATGCAAAATAAAATGAGTATCTCATAGATGGGAAAATTGTTGGACAAGTTGGATGGCTTGAAGATATATAAGACATATCAGGGAAGTTAATTAAGCTAACTGCAGCCTCACCTTTGACTCATGATCTGACCACATTAATTATTTTGAACTCTCTGGTTGGCCCGTACTTACAGCCTGAACAAGTCAATAAACCATGAATAGGACACAACGTGTGTTTTGTGCTTATTCATTTCTTAGTGTATGATCTAGTTGCAGTGTTACTAAGTCCGCCCATTCGCAATGTGTAGAGGCGCTATGACCTTTGACTTCTTTGTCTTGACCTAAAGTCAGGTATATAGGTCGGGAAGATTGCGACCAAACTTTAAGATAACTAAATAAGTAATAACTTTAAAAAAGACACCACAAATCAAAGAAGAAAAAATTCATTAGGAAATGGCGAGTCAATCTTTCTTGCTCAATCCTTTCACTTCAACTCAATTTTGTGATACCAATTCGCTGTAGTGCTAATGTTGCTACACATTTTTATTAAAATATTTTCTTACACTAAATACTAACAAGATTATATTAAATAAGATTATAAATATGCATAATCGTTATAGAACCTCACATTCAAGGTACAAAATCTAATCAAGAACCAAAACTAAGACCATCGGTGAACGCTCCTTCTACTTCCATGGGCCCACGTTCTGGAACCAGCTCCCCTTCCATATCCGTCATTGTGAAAGCTCGTCCACTTTTAAAAAGTCCCTTAAAACCCATCTGTTTAATTCCGCCTATGACCTGTGATGCACCCTCCTTGCCCTGCCTCGTTTTCTGTCTCGGTTTAAACCTGTAATATAGGCCAAAACGTGCCAAAGTGTCCTCGTTTTATAACCATTTTAATTGTTTCTATAGTATAGTAGTTACTATCCTAATAGTTACTATCCTAATGTCTCATTTTTATTGTAGTTAGTTTACATGTTTTTAATAATTGTAAAGCGCTTAGAGCTTTAAGGTAAGCGCTATATAAAAAATGCATAAATAAATAAATAAATAAATAATCAGGATCCAACAAACCTTCAATAGAAATTATAGAATTAAAATTTCTAGACCAGTTGTTTGCAAACTTGTAAGTTTGAAGAGCCAAAACTTGTCCTAATGACAATATAAACAAAATTTTCTTCAACTATAAATATAATTTAACGAATAAGAGGAGGAGAGAAATCGCCAGTCACAATTACACACTAAAGTATGAAGTATACCTTTATTGAAATGAATTTTCAAAATCCTACAGTTTACACAAGAATCTGTTACTTTGTAATAGAAAATAACGAAATCACAAATATGTGCATCTTATTATTGAAAATTTTATAAATGAGACTTTAACTTTCATAGCTTTATTTATTTTATTTTAATTAAGAGCCACGTGTATGATCTCTAACAGCCGCATGTGTCTGGTGCGCCACACTTTTGCCGGCCCATCATTATGGCATAAGTAGAGGTTTGTGTGCGTGGGGGGGGGGGGTATATTTAACAAAGGGGTAATATGTTTCCTACTGGTACACACTTTCCTAGTGGTACACCATTTTACGCCCTTAAATTTTAAAACACGTCTTTTGTCAAGTGCAATGCAAAAGATTTCAAAGGGGGGGGGGGGTATATTTAACAAAGGGGTAATATGTTTCCTACTGGTACACACTTTCCTACTGGTACACACTTTTACGCACTTAAATATTAAAACACGTCATTTGTCAAGTGCAATGCAAAAGATTTCAAATTGACTATTTTTCAACGCGTGTTTTGCGTGCAAAATGTACACAGAGTCATAAAAAAAGAAAATGAGTAAAAAATGTAATGTCAAACCTGAAAAAAGGAACGCAACAAAACAACGAACGTGTCGGCAGGACGCCTTTTACAGCGAACAAACAACAGAAAATAAACAGAATAAAATTATAAAATAACACTAAGCTGAGAAGTAGTATCCGACAGGGCAGCAAAATAATTGTAACAAAAAGTAAGTAGGTTAAATAGAGAAAAGGGAAAGAAAAGAGGAGAAGTTAGTCATCTGCGATTGGTCATGACGTGAAGAAGTGGGGCAAAGACTCAAGCTATAAATAAAGACCTGACGTTCATGAAATGTGGTGATAAAAGGTTCAATTTGTCTTCCCAATTAACCCGGCTGTGTGTGTTTGTGCTAGGCACGATCGCATTAATTGTTAAGTCCACCGTGACTTCCATAGAAGTGTTTAGAGACAGGACACTGTTTATCTTGCGTAAGATTACAGAGGTGTTCAGTACGCCTGTCAGAGAGTCGGCGTCCTGTCTCGCCTATCTACGACATCTGGCAGCGGGTGTAAACAATGGCGTAGACAACATTGTGGCTAGTACAAAGGAAACCGTCGTGTATCTGAAAACTGCCTTTAGGCAAGCGTATGTATTGAGTCTGGACGACTAAAGGGCAAGTGTTGCAACGGCTACTTGTACGTAGCCTGGTCCCAAAGTGGGAAGGGTGGCGTTGAGATGACTGCACACAAGGAGGTCTCTCAGATTTGTACAACGTCTGAAAACAATGAGGGATGGGAAGAGAAAATGTAACGTATTTCAGTGTCGGTGAGGAGTATGGCACGGTTTTTTAGGAAAACACGCTTCGCTATTAGATTGTGCGGGTGATAAGTGATCATAAGTTTGGTCCTGTCAACATTGTCATCCGGAGGAGACCTGAAGGCATCAGCACGGTTAATATTCTTAACCCCTTGAAGGGCTGATGAAAGTTCTGTCTCTTGGGTTGGAATTAGTCGATCATCTCAAGTGCTATGTCCCAAAAGTCATCATCTGACCGACAAAGTCGACGAAGACGAAGTAAATGAGAAAAAGTAATAAAATCTTTGCAGGATTTAGAAGGAAGAGAAGAGTAGATAAAAATAACGAAGTGGCTATAGGTACCCGATTAAACATCGTCGCCAATGACTACTCGCACCCGAAAGTCTTAGTAATCGAAAAAAAAACATGATTCGCACCAGAGGCTTAATAATCGACAAGTTTCCCGCGCTTTCTTTTATAAAAATGGAGGTTGGCAGCATTTTTTACACCTATGCGTCTTTTGAAGACAAATTGAATTATTTTTGTAAAGAACACAATGTGTGTTTCACTAAAAGATCGTCAGAGAAGATGAAAGGTCCCAATTTGGAACACCGTAAATATGAATATATAATTCACTGTTGCAAACAAGGAGTTAAACACAAGTCAAAGTCTTCAACGACAACAGGCCAAAGAAAATCACAAGCGTAAGTAATAAAGTAATAATAGGTTAACTTTAAATTTAGTTGGTCTTGTCATGTAATAATTCTTTCTCCAAGCCAATGATTCTTACCACGGTAAATGTAGAGGACTAGTGCCACTATTTTATCGATGGCCGCGACTAATGTATCCCTAAATCGATCCCTATGCCTAACCTGAACCTTAAATCGACCCCTCAACCTAACCTAAACCCTAATTCACTGCAACTATAATAAAGAAGCAACTGACGACGTGGCATTCATGCTCTACATTAGCCTTTACCACTTTTGGCAATTCGTTGAGAATTTTTATATTTTTCAGTTCTTTCAAATTGGGATGCCAGGCAAAGATAAAGCTTGTTGCCAAGAGAAATCCATCTCGGCTGGAAATTACCACATCAATGCATGAACATACTGGCCATGAAGTATCAAAAGAAGTAAGTGCATGTGCTGCGAAAAATATTTACATAATAATAATAAATAGCATATTCTTGTGGCAGGTTGTTGTCATCTACAGATACTCTAGTATCTAGACTATATAGAGTTAGAGACGGGTGCATTTTAAAGAATGTTTTGTACCATTCATTAACCCATTCAATCTAGGGCGCTCAGAAATTTTATCACTGAAAACTTTATGTTAAGGTTAGGGTTACCACCCTTACCATTGCCATAGAAAGGTTTTGAAAAAAATTACGACAAATCTATTTAACTGTATAATTAAATTTAATAAATTCTAAATAGTCCAAACAGAGTTTTAATCTTAATTTTGATTATTGTGACTTATAATAAACTTAAAACATTTATCCCCAAGGTGAAGGTTAGTTATTTTTATGTACACCGCGGTGAGCCCAGCCCTAGGCTGGGGTACAGCGCTATATAAGACCAATGTTCCCTCTAAGGTTTGTTGGTTTGTGTGCAAAATCATAGTTATGTGCAAAGTTTTACAGCATCAATTTTTTGTGTGCAAAATTTTACAGTCCAGAAAACCAAACACACACTTACAGGGAAATTTGCTGCGCGGATACTCAAAACTGCTGCGCAGCGCCTGTGAGACGGCTGCGCGGCAGCACAGCTTAAAGGGAACATTTTATAAGACCATTAATAATAATAATAATAATAATAATAATAATGTTTGCAGGGCCTATTTTTTTACATAATACTTATTATTGCAAAGTAACCTTTGTGTGTTTTTTTTTCCAGATGTGCCGCTTGTATCCGGAAAACCGCAAGGTGGAACTAAATGCGGCAACACTTCTGTTGATGTCCTACACCACGATTCAGGCATCTGAGGCCCTGCAAGTGCTTGAACAACAGCATGATGTGGATTTGATTCCCAGGGATATTTACAATATTAAGTCAAGAATAAATAAATCATCTTCTGATGCAACTGAATCTATAAATCATTCTATATCACAAGCTGGTGGAAGTGCGTCCTATGGACTAACAGAAAGTGGGGAATTTAAGTATTTTATGTTAAGAGAATCTATAAGAAAATCTCCGTCCTCGTCCGTGCCTGTCAATCCCTTATATAGGTGGGTCTACCGACGCCCAAGCCCTGCCTTCGAGAAATTTCTAGAAAAATCAAAATCATTCTACAAAATACTATACTATACAGAGCTGGTTACAATTTTTTCATTAGTGTGTGCACTAAGCTTAAATTTTTATAAAAATCATTGTTATATTTTGCCTGTGTCAAAATGGATTTTGATATTGAAAACCCATCAGTAGAGGCATTAGACAAATGTTCTAGGAAGGAGCTATTTTCCATTGCTAAAGCTCTAGAATTAAATGTAGCTCATTCGGCCGTAAAAAAGACCATACGAGACATGATCATCGTTCACTTTGTGGATGAAGACATGTTATCTGAAGATGAACTGGCCTCAGTCACACAACCGACTGATCCAAGTATGGAGCTCCAACTAAAGCTAAAAAAAATGGAACTAGATGCCCAGAGAGAAAAAGAACGTGAGCTTAAACAGCTGGAGCTAGATAAAGAACGTGAGCTTAAAGAGCTGGAGCTTGATAAAGAACGAGAGCTTAAACAGCTGGAGCTAAAAGCTCAGAGAGAGAAAGAAGAAAAAGATAGAGAGC